GAATATAAGTTATTTCTTTTAGAGAAAAGTTAGTGAACAGTAATGATTTTTAGTAATAAAGTGGTCAATTCGTGAAAATTATTTAATGAATTCCAATGTTCTAAAAACCCAAGAGGATCCTCTTAACTGCGATCACTTTATTTTTAAGAATTACTTAGAGTTTATTAAACCAAGATGTGACATCAGTCCATGAGGTTATTAACTTTCGAATTGAGTCATATAGATTGTAACAGATCACTTGTTTGATTTTACACGATTATCGTATCCAAATAATTTGAATCGTCCAATAACATGAGTTAGGATCCATCGTAATGATTAAAGTGTATCAACTTTTTCTCATTTCATAGATCTTAGTTTTAAAAATTACTTTACATTTTCTACTGCACTAAGTTGATTTGTTTTTCTTCATGAATCATATTGTCTATAACTAGTTTCTTTTTTCTGCTACCTATGAAACTATGACTATAATTATTACTGTGAGCTTTTACTCAATAAAGTCATCTCACTATGGTGACGTGAACTAAGGATCTAAGTTACTTATGACTAAGTGACTAACTAGGAATTCATTAACCATTGAATGAATTGTTCAAACATATTAGAAAGTAAGCATAATTAATTTAGGGAAGCCTAAATATTACAATCTGTTCTCATTAATTAGTTATCTAGAAAGTTTTCTTAGTCAATAAAGTTTGTAATAATTTATATTAATCATTTTTTTCATAATGAAATTTAACTATTAAAATTATTTTGGTCTTGGTGGAGTTTTGTTCTCTGAGCTAGATGGTTCGGTCAGAGAACAAAAGCTCAGAGAAGAAAACTCCACCAAAATCATCCACCTGAGCTATAAATCTTCTCCACCATCTCATTATTTGGGTCTGTAAATGTATCTTTTATTTGTATCTATTTAACTAGACAAATGTAAAGTAAATGCAAAATGAGCAAATGACATAATTAATCTTTGTTTCACTTTATTGGTGAAAAAAAAAACAACCAAACAAATAAATTAACCATTATTATTTCTCATTATTAAAACATATAGTCCAATCGATCTACCTCTTGTCAACAATTCCTATAGAAATAATAATAATGAATAAATTAAACTATTTAATAGTCTTTTAAGTTTACTTATATTATTTCTAAATAGGAAGCTTTCTAATTGTCATTATTTATGATTTACATGAATGTTTGTGGTAGATATTCCTTTTATAAAACTTAAAAAATATATTATTCTTTGATCTTTTTGTTTGTTTGTATCATCTCTTAACAACAAAATTAGATTAATGTTATGGACATAGTTTAACTATGTTCTAGTTTGTTTCCAAAATATTTGAATGTTATTTTTTAATATTTATTTATTAATGATTCAAATTAAATGGAGAGAATATTAAGAAAGTGCAGAAATGTTACAAACAGTAACCAGTAAATTATGTAATCATATAAATTTTTTTTAAAAAAAAAGAATAGTAGTGGGTAACATCAATTATTTATTGATTATTTTGTATCTAATTGCTAAAATGATGCTCTTAAATTTAAGGGATGATAATGTTTGTTTGTTTTTTATGAGGAAGAAGAGAAGCTAAAATTCTAAATGATCTATGTGCAGAACTAAGCGCAGTTAATATATTATCATTGTTACTATTATTATTGTTCCCTTCTAAATGTAAGATCATCAAAACAAGGTAGTCAAACTATTGATTAGTACAATAAGTGTAAGTTCATTCTAATAAAGTATTGTGATAACGAATGTGAATATCAGAAAGTCAATTGTAAGAATTTCTTTTTGTTTAAAATGATGATTCTTAGTCATTTCTTTAGTAGAATTTTTAAGAGATATCATTGAGAACTGTCCATTTTAAAACGAGACGAAATACTATTATTTTATCATAAATCTATGAAATAATTGGCATCACCATTTATAAATAACTATAACATTTTGATTAGAGTGAAACAATTGTGGTTAAATGTTAATTTTAAGATGATGGAGAAGATTTATAGCTTAGGTGGATGATTTTGATGAAGTTTTGTTCTTTGTGCTCAACAGGTCAATAAGAATCAATCAACATCGAGGTCTACAGGACAAGCTGTGAACTACATGTGGAAAAATTTGAACACATCATTTCTACCCGAAGTTTGTACTGATAAAGAAGAACGATGAAAGTTTCACGACCAAACCATCCAGATCAGAGAACAAAATTTCATCAAGATCCATTGATTGACATTTTAGTATCCTTACTCACTTTTTGACTTATCAATGAACTGATGTGGTTAGCAAAGGATAAAGCTTATCGACCCAATCTATGTTTCACTGACAGAAGTGTGCCTTATTAAAACCCACATCTTATATTCACAAATTGTGTCAACAATTGGGTTTTGTGAGTAACCACATACGTCAAATCGGTTCAAGTAATAGATTTCAAAACAACATACAAGCACAAAGACAATCCATTGAAACGTCTTTGACCAGAATTGTAATGGTCGAGGTTAAATGATCGTACACTACTGAACATTATCGAAGTAGGCAACAAATTATTTTGCCCTCTTCTACTCATCATTCTTTGTGTTAGATTGGTTGGATGTATTGCGACGTTCTTTAGTCAACTTTTTTAGTTATGACAATATTTGCTTCTAGGGTAACAATTGTAACTGTTTAATATTTAAAAAAGTCAGCTTACTTTCGCTAACTAGTTTAATTATTCACACATGCATTTATTTGCCACTAATACGGACTAATTTGTTCGCAAACTACCGAAAGATCACTAATTTTATCTCCCTGTCTTAACTTATCATTAAAACTTATCAGTTAACACATATAATGTAATAACAAAGCTAAGTGATTCAGTCTCACATTTTGCTTTGCATTTAAACTTTGAACATTAAAAATCTTAGGTAAAGTGAACTGTACACATATGCTAATACAAGACAGAAACTCAACTTTTATTATGTTTGCTCTGTATATGAAGTATGAAATAACGTCTTGAAACATGTTTAATCTATAAATAACGATATAAACACAGCTTTGAAAGATTCCTTACTGTATACATTTTTCCTCCATTTATTCGTGTATTCATCAGTAAATATTACTTAATTTAATATCTTTTGCACAATATATGATTACTAGTTAAAGTTTGGATTAACTAGTTGTTGGTAAACTTGACTAAACTTTGTTCATTCTTTGTTGACATATACTCATCCTGTCGATACTGGCCCAATGTAACACTTTCGTCACGTCTTATCGAATAGATGGACTGTATCTAGCAATGAAGTCCAGGACGCAAATTTCATTCTATTTGGGACTTCACTTTTAGCTACAATCCATCTTTTTCGAAATAGATGAAGAAAACAGTTATTCATGTTGAAAAAATTAAAATTTCTTAACAAGTTTTAAGGAAATCGCTGAAACTTAGCGCTAAGATAATAAAATATTTCATGTGAAACTACTTAATATCATAAGAAAATAACAGAAATAATTGGATGAATGTGAAATTGGACGTCTATAATTTAAGTATCTTCATAATCACAAAATGAAAATTGATTTTCTTACTGATCTATATTTTGTCATAATTTCTTAACGGTTTCTCGGTCTACCTGTGGTGTAGGCTACTTATGTTGAAAGATTTAAGTAGATTATAGCAATAGTCGGAAGTGGAATGACTACCAGCAGAAGATTGAGAAGATTGAATTGAGGAGAGTAGAAATGGAAGGAGTAAGAAATTGGAATACCAATTGAATTTGAAGAATGAAGAAATATGTACAGGATAAATGAAAGATGTGCAAATAATGTATTTAATGCTTGATTTTTATATTTTACAATAGCATTGCAATAATTATGCGTTAACAATAAATTCATTTTCCCCACCTGAGTCCACATACTCTATATACCTAATCTATTTTGATCCGTTTAGCATGACAGAGATAAGATTGAAATCAGTGATAATTCTCACCTTTCATTCAATATGTTCTTATGCCCATGTTAAACAAAACTGTTCGATATTCAGTGGTTGCTAACATATATATATATATATATATATATATATATATATATATATATATATATATATATATATATATTACTACTTATAACTTTTAATCAGAATACTTAAGGATTATGAAAAAGAAAATAATAATAAATAATTCAATAAATATATTTTTGTATTGTCCTAATGAGTAGAAAATTGTATTTCTGACGTTCCGTGAATTAATGTAAGTCCCTTCTTCGGACTAAATAAATAACCGAAATTAACGTAACCAAAGTTTAAATAGTACAAAGAAAATAATACATTCTACCCCATCCTTAATTTATTTGAAATTTTCAACTCCAATCTTGTCATTGAAGTCAATAAATCATATAATTTCAAATAGTGAAAATTATTTGAAATTAGAGCATCTATTTTGAGGGTTGACAAATGTTTATATTGATAATTTATCTTATATAATGTACAAAAAATATAATTAAAACCCTAAATCTACAGATACTTCATGTAGCTGTCATTCAGAGATCACCTTATTAACACTTAGTTACAAAAACATTACCGAACGGGTGGAAAATTTCATCTTTGGGATTGACACAGACTCTAAAATTGCTTTGCGAACTATTAGTGTAGTTCTATCCTCACTCTAGTTGGAATAGTCTCTCTTTCTGCAATTAATAATAAAAACTGATGGTTATCTAACATGGAAATATTGGATACAGTTTATGCACATTTGAGTTCCTACTGACAAGTGGATTAAACTGGTCAACTGTTTCATGGTAGTATGGGACTCCTAGGAAATACAAACACACTAGCTCTAGCTGTTAAACTGCTTTTTCGAAATTCAATAGATTTAAGACTCCAGCCATTTTCCTCATCATAATTATGATGAAATTCTGTAATATTTCAGTAAAGTTTTCATACAATATATATACATGGTTTCACTTCAAAGATTAAGTGCGACTTTTCAAGCATTAAATGATAATAATTCTTAATCAAAAGAATGCTTCGTGTTTATCACAGATCACTCACTTCTCTGTTGAGTTAATGGTATACACATTCTAGTTGCACTAGTAGGAAATCTAGAACATTTAACAATATCTGGCCATCCAAACCCAAATTGTAACATTTTTGGTAAACAACTTCTTCGTACATCTTCACATAAATTTTGACATGGATGTATAAGACGTTCTTGATGTCCATCAACACACACTGGTGCATATAAAGCACATAAAAATTTTCTCAAATCAGAATGACATTCAGTTTGAGCTAAACTTGTCCATACTTGTGATTGTTCAACAGCTTCTTTAAGATCTTCATGTTGTAAATAATTTGGTAATATCATACCATCATAACCAATATTTTGACATAATGACATATTTTTAGGAATTTTATAACATCTTTGACTACCATAACCATTTAATAAACGATGCCAATCTGCATAATAACTTGTTGGATCTAATCGATCTATATTTGATGAATGAGTATTATGTATATCGAAAAAGTTTTCATCTAAGAGTAATGATGAAGAAAGTGATGATGTTGGTGATGATAAGGCTGTTGATGATGATACAGATGATGATGATGAAGAATCATGATCATTAAATAATAAATCATTATGCAAATAATTTCTTTTTGGATAATTATCATGATTTTTAATATATTTTGAATTCCATGAACTAAGAAATGGTTGTTTCGATGCACTTGTTAAACCAATTCTTCCAAATATATGTAAAGGATAAGAATAAACTGTACTATTCACATAATAACAAGAGAGAATGATAGAAAAATTTATAATCCACAAATTTATTAAAAATGTAATTCTTTTCATAATGGATTTATAATTTATAGAATTATTGAATTGAAAATTGTACAATTAATTCAACGGATTGTTTTAATAAATTAATTCCCACAATAAATATAAGATGAAATTCATAATTGTCTAGATGATTGCCTAGAGCATATTTTCTTTTTTCTTTTTTAGAAAATGTGGGTATCAAATGTCAATATTTATGATAAGAATTAAACTTCTATACGCCCAATTTATTAGTTACGTTAAAATTCAGGTTTTATTAATACAATGGTTCTATTGTATTTTATTAGACTTTATACTGGTAAGTATTATCCAATCCGATAAGAGGGTATGTACACATGCGAACACACACACATACATACATACCTGCACACACACATTTTACAGATGCACAAAAAATTAAAACAAAAGAGTTGTAATTATAATTTTGTAAACTGACAAGACCAAATTATGTAAGATGATGGGAGAATAACATATAGAAGAATAAAAATGAGAACTTCACTACAAACTATAGATGGAATAAAAACAATGGTAGGGTGAATATAACATTAAAACATTTTTTATTATCAAATACATGTATATACTATCTTCATTCATCTAAAACATTTTGCCCACCCTTCTAAAAATTTTGTTTTACTAACCTCTCCCTACACAATCAGTATTTTTTTTCTTTTGTTCATGTAATAATACTTCCCTTTTAGACGTGTGTATAAAGCACTCATCCAATAATCATATTCGTTCAACTGTTTTTCCATTGTGTTTTGCTGTAGATGTAAGAAAAAAAGACTTTATAACTTGGCAATTGTTCTTAAAAACTTTTTTTAAAAAAAAACATGTTAACAACTAAGCAAATCTCCACAGGATACATCAACATGTACAATAGCTATTTATTACAAACACCGTTTGTCATCATTATCATCGGCGTCAAATATACAATGTATTATTGCTATTGTCATTTCGGACTTTGTTGTGTTTTTTTTAAAAAAAAAGGAAAATCTGCTTCTTACATGACTATCATGCATACCTCACCTTTATATTTGATTTAGTAATTTAGAACACATATATGAAAAATTATTAACAGGGCATCACTGTCATTTAAAACAAATTATTTAAATAAAAGAATAAAACAAGGAGATAAATATATATAATAAAATTTTGCGCGAATAACAAATTAGCCAATTAATAAATGTAATATATTAGAATAAATTGTTGGTTGTAAAAGATATTTACAAATTACCGGATGAATGTTTTATTTTCCCTTAAGTTTAATTGTTTGTAACAGTTGTACCTCAAATTATGAATGAAAATTATAAGAACTGTATTATGAAAAATAGAATCTAATTAATTTAAACAAATCAGTTCGATCCTAACGACTTAAATGTAGTTTTTTTTATTGGATTATTTATTAGAGTATGCTTTCCATTGAACATAACATTTAAATTCAAAACTGACTACAAATAGTGTTTAAGTCTGTATAACATATAGGACCATTGTAAGTAAAAAGAACAATTCTATAAAGAATAAAGATATTGATATCAAGATTGTTAGTGACTTGATATTTTTGGTTATCATGTTGATATTCATTGTTAATACTTATAAAAATTAAAGATATTTACAATAAATTCATATTAGCTGATGGATTATTTCTAAACTATTCAGATTAGTTACTATCATCTGTTATTTGATTTAGCGTTATCTAGATGTTCTTTTCCATCTTTCCTGCATAGAACTTGAAATAGTTGTATATACTTAAAACGTTTTCGGTTCCTCTCATTTATTTAGTTCAAAACTTACTGCGTAATACAGTCTTATTTTTTTTAATAATATTTGCTTTCCTCATACTAATTGGTTTATTACTGTAAAAAGTTCTAAGTATAAAATATATAACATTGCGACAGTTTCATTGTTTTATCAGAACTTAATATGTGAATGATCACAAATGTATGAATAAAATTTTTTTACTTGTTTATGAAATAATATTTATATTCACGTTTGATTGATTAATTGCTAGGTAGTGACTAATTTTATGCATGTAAGGTCCTTTTTAGTGCAGACCGAATCCTATGAAACAAATTGCAGTATTGTCACTAATCTAGGTAACTCGACATCGCATGCACTATTTTCGACAGACATCCCTGGACCTAGGTTTCGTGGTATTTGACACTCTACAGCAAGATGAATCTGTAATCTTGAAAAAAGTGATGCTCCATAACGGACTTGATACCGTGCACTATGAGGGACCTGACACACGTGACGTTGTTCACGACCCAGTCATCAAGCAATTATAAATACATCTCAGTCCTCCAGGAGATCAGTCAAGGCTCGGATAGTTCAGTGGTAACGTCTCTGACTGTGAAGCTGTGTGATATGAGAATGAGTCCGTCAGTAACCGCAAGTTCCATCAAAATTACAGATATTTATATTCGTCCGCAAGTGTTTATGACAAATCATCATACCATGATCTCTCTTTTCATTATTAAATATATTGATGGATAAATTATGGAGTAATTACTCCTCATCTCCCTAAAAGATAAACAAGAAGGAGGCAAATAAAATAATTACTGCGATGGTACTTTTTAACTTTCACAGTGATTAGATTCGTGATACATTGGGGACATTTTTAAATCTCTGGAGTACGTGGAGTTAGTAGATATAATTACAAGATTAAAGCAAACCTGAAACTAAATTAATGCCGGTAAATACTCTTTTTGGAAATTGATTATTCATAAATTTGGGAAGCCTGTCAACAAACATTTATTAAAGGAACAGTTTTTGTCAGTCGGGGTAAGTTATCGGCTAGTAATTTGATAAAGAATATTATTGTTCTAAGCGTAGCCAGTGGCGATAAAGCAATAGTTATTAATCATACTGTTGCGATTCTTTAGATATTTAAGATCCTCACTTCTCATAGCCTAGATGTGATTGTTAAACAGCTCAATCGAATGATGAAACTTTTTTCGCGTGAATGAATTATAAATCATATATTTAAAGTAAAACATACTACCTGCCTTTTCGAGGAGCTGAAAATGAACTTCCAGGTTAAATGACGAAGTATTTTATATATTTGCAACACTTGAATTTTATTTTTATTTCTAGTCAAAATCCACAATGAAATATATTTTAGAATATCAAAACTATGTGACACCAATATACCAGTAATTTTACCTCAACAACAAACTAACTGCAATTGAAAAACGTTAGAAAACAAGGAGAAAACAAAGTGATAACTCGTAGTTAACGTGATTTGAAATGTTTTCACTTCGTTGCAAGCTATAGTAAGCTGTTATCAGTATTCATGTTATGAAGCCAGTATTTCTCAGTAATATTACCAGCGAGAACTGGTTGTTATTACTCATTATATATATATATATATATATATATATATATATATATATATATATATATATATATATATATATCCGAGATCACTCACACCTGTTACGCCTCGTAGAAAAGCATACTCAGACCGCTTCCAATTTCCAACGCATGGTGTTCCTTGGTTTTCATGTTTTACTTTTCCTTTCAAAATTTCATGTTAGCGCTTGCTTCGTGATGTAGTTTGACGATTTCCGCAATGTATATCCTATCCACCCCCACTGTCCTTTCGTAATTTCCTATTCAGGTAGAACCTGATTTGTTCTCTGTCATACTGGGTTGTTGGTGATGGTATCCGATCAACGAATATTGAGTATCTTGCGTAGACAATTTTTTATAAATACCTGCATCATTATGACGATAGTTGTGTTAGTTCACCAAGTTTCAGCTCCGTATAGTTGAACTTTCTTACGCTCACATTTAAGATTCTGCCTTTGATGTTGACTTCCTCCTTATTCATCAATGATGCTGCTCAGTTATGTGAAAGACTTCACATCCTCCAGAGCGTCTCCACCAAGTGTGATGGGGTTGGTATTCTCCATGTTCTATTTGAGGATCTTGCTTTTTCCGTTATGTATATTGAAGCTTAATCTTGCAGATGCTTTTGCTACACTAGTTGTCTTCATCTGTATTTGTTTGTGTGCATGGGATGAAATAGCTAGGTTATCTGTGTAGTCCAAATCATCTGCTTGCATGCAAACTGTCTATTGTATTCTCTGCTTCCCGTCAAATGTGTGGGTCTTCATAATCCAGTCAACCATCAGGAAAAGGAGAAAAAGTAAGGGTAAAATTTTGTGAATTCAACAATGATTATTCAATATCTTGAAACATCTTCGGCACCTAGGTGTGAATTTCACCTCATGTATGTACGCCGTCGATCATATTGGTGAGACTTTGCTTCATACATATTGATATGAATTTTTTGTCTAATTTACACACTGAGTTATTGATGACGTTTGTGCAAAACCGAACAGTTCAGTTAATCAAAACATATTTTATAGTATAGAACTGTTTGAAAGGAATTAAAATGAGATCATACTGAATATATATTTATTAAGACATAGTTTAACATCGAAGTATTCAATATAGTTAATCCCTATGACATGTAAATTCCTCTTGATTAAATGTGGTTTAATATTTATTATTTAAATCCATGAATGAAAATATTGTTGTGTTAAATACAATCTGTTAAGAGCTTGTTGATACTGATCAATTGAGCATTCAAAAAATACCTAAAATGTTAATATAAATTTATGTGGATTTGTTTTATTCAAGTGGGAAATAAAACCAAATTTATCCCGTTCAAAATGTCAATCTTTTGTTTTTTCGTAAATTATTTACAATCTAGAATAAAATAAACACTGAAATATCCTTCAGTATACAAAAAGTGTTTAGATTTAGAAAAAATATATTATAGTTTTTATAGTTTTTATTAAATTCAACAAGATAATATCAGACCTACTTAGTAATTTATATTAATATCAGAAGGGGTTTTTCTGTGTATCATAGTAATTTCAATAATTGAGATCATGAGTCAATTAAAGCTAGATCACCATGAAAAACCTGGAAGCACTGAACAGCCATTTCGTCCTATTGTGAAACTTCTCAACAGTGCACATCAACTATTGAAATCACTACTGTTATATCCACAAAAACCCCTTCTGATAGTAATCAACATATGCTCAGTAGTGACTGACTTCAAGATGTATATTCTGGAGTTCTAGTGAGAAGCGGTGACCAGTGGAGTTCAACAGGATCATTTGTGAGATAGTAACTCAGTGAAGATAATGGTGGATGTGTTGCTCAATTTTGTGGACTAGTTGGAGTTAGACATTGACAGCATTGGATGCCGACCGGCTCAGTGGTCTAATGGTTAAGTGTTCGCGCACGAGACCAATATGTCCTGTGTTCGAATCTCGCGAGGAGGGGCTGGATCGTGGATGTGCACTGCTGAGGATCCCGACAATGTGACGAAACGGTCGTCTAGTACTTCCAGGCTTTCTACGTTGGTCTAGCTTCAACTGATTTATGAATAGAACTACTAAATTACTGTGAGAATAATGGTTAATTTATTTTTGTCAGTATTCATAATTCAAGTAAGTCAATTTGTAAACTGTATTTCAATCAAATTATTCATATGTATGAAACTCAAAGAGAACGCTTCTTTACCAATAGTACAGTTTTAAATTCTTCAGTTGTTAATATACTAAGGTGAATTAACTTAAATTTCAATTGAGCTCTAGTATAACACGCTACATACTTTTCATTAAATTAAAAGTATATTTGTTAAACATAAATGAAAATGTGAAGTAACAACTAATTTGTTTTTAAAAAAGTTGAATAACATGATTGAAATCAATTTCTTTTGTATATCAAAATAACTTATCTACCGGGTAATTAGTTCATTGAATATCGAGTTATAATTTCATGAATTTAAGGCATATTAACCTATAAAGTACATTACAATGCTTGGTATAATATAAAGTATTATGGACAATGAAAAAAACTATGGGACAAAGTAGAAATACTCAATAAAGTAACGTATAAATAATTGGAATTTTATTTTATGTTTAGGACTCACTTCCGGAAGTTAATTTTCATAAATTAAGTAGAAATTGATTTGAAAAATCTATCTTTTTCAAATTCATCACACCAAAACACCTTATTTAAGGATTTATTTTTTCACTATGGATACTCTTTATTGTTTAAATAAATTTTTTTAATTTCAATTACGGATAGTGTTGAGATCAATTGACTTATTTTAACCAATTCTATACATCACAATTAATTGATCACTGGGTGGTGATCAACGTCATGTGTGTCAAGACCTTCTTAGTGCAGGTCGAATGCTATCGACCAAGTCGCGATGTGGTCCTACAGGAGGTCAGTCGCTGCCCGGATAGCCCAGTGATAACGTCTCTGACTGTGAAGCCGAGTGACACGGGATCAAATCCGTCAGGGAGCACCAGTTCCTTCAAGATTACATGTACACCATGCTGACGAGTGCCAAGTAGCACGAAACCCAGGTCCAGGGTTTCATATTGACTACCTCCAACCACCATCTAATTCTATACATATATGCATATTAAACGCAAATGTGATTTATATTATAAAGCTAACTTGTTACGTCATATGGTATTATTAACTTTAGCCATGTGAAAGTAAGATAACATTTAGAAAATCAAGATCTCATGTCACAACTTCAGATATTATACTTTAAATGGTATAAAATTTATACCACAGACATTTATAATTAACTGTAATAATGTAAAAATACATTTTAATAATTTATACATCACCTTTTTAAAATATAGTGAAATTTGAGTATAACTAGTGTGACTTTAGTGTGGTATAATTCATTTGAAGAAGTACAATTTTTGCGACAAGATAATCGACTAAGTAGGTTTTTTAATAGAGCTTCGTGTATTTTAAAACTGATATTAACTAAAGGACAGTTGAAAACTATGAAGCGTTAATGAGATTTTTCATCCTTATTTTAGACTGATCCACTTTTTCAGAAATATTTGAAATCTAAGGTAAAAAAAATCTATAAAAACTGAAGAACCAGACATTTTGAAAACTAATAAGTAGCCATTTCTCCATCGCTTTCATCTGCTCCATAGATGTTTTTAATATATCAGCGATAGACACAAAATCCAGTGAAAGAGTCAGAATACAGTGGTCGACAACTTCAGTTGTTTTGCATTACAAGGTTCGTAATCACCTTATATAGCTTTTTCGTGTATGCGAGTGAGTCAGCAATAAAGATAACACGAAAATTGACGCCAAAATAATTACTTACGAAAACGCATTTTCAAGCCTTGATTGATTTACAAAACAATTTTCAATTCGGAGTGCCGTTATTTACTTTAATGGGTTTTATTTTATTTAATGTTTTGCAATCGGTACTTTGCTACAATACCTTTTACTTGTCAAACAAGGATAAAACTAACTTTTACTCTTTTATGCTGTTAGGGTAAGGACTATACATGTGATTCATTTTATCATTAATCATCGCTAGTTATAACATCTCATCTTTACAATATCTGAAAATTGATTTCATACAATAAATGACTGAGTAGTTAACCAAAGTTGAGTGTTAGTCAGTAGGGTGAATTTTTGTTATCCATTCTTTCTGAACTAGACGGTTTAAATGCAAGTCATTCATTCCCGTTCCGGATATCATTAATGTCTGCCTCATGTAAAGCTAAGCTTACTAGTTCTTCTACAAGCGCAAAATAAGCTCGTTCTGGTAAATTTATCCATGATTGGTTGTAATTTGTCCTTTTCCATGTAACGACGCTTATACAAATAAAACATGATAGACACTTTATCAGATTTACGATCGTATTGTAAAGTGATATGACAGACTGATACAAATCAAGATATTGACTTTTCTAACCCTTTCATACTTAATTGTAATCTTATTTGTTAGATTGTATGTATTCATTTATATTTAATCCTGACTTTTCATCATGCGCATTTTTACAAACGCATGCTTGTCTATTTCGATTTAAATAAATTCTTTATCTATTTTCATATAAGTTAACTAACCTTCTGGGCTCAGAAACACCATCTTAACCGTCTCTTGATGAGCAATAGTCAAAGACCACATAATGTTCATCTATTCAGTCTTACCGTACCTGGTAAGTCGCATATTTGACATAGACATGCCCGAAACACAATTATATCCGAAGTTTATATTTACGTTTCAGAACTGTGATATGTCGCAAGAATATAGATATTTCACTGACTGTCATTTCTAGAATTAAATGGCTTTTAAAAAGTGATAAACCTTTTGACTAGGAAACATTCAATTTGACTTAAGACCATGTTCTTTGTTCCTGTAACATTTGGTAACCAGTTGATAGATTGTAAACAGGACTATCTGGGATTAGAACTCTAATTTATACAAACCTCAAACATTTTCTGTTGTGAATGGAAGATAATCTTCGTTCACTTCTCTATAACTGCATCTACCAGTCCATGTTGAATACCCTTTATTAGCCATAACTACTCATTTCAAATATGTGAGAACACATTCCAGCTTGGTTTTAAAAGGGTAAAAGATAGTCTGTTAGGAACCCTATCCTTGAACAATAAACTAATTTCGATCCCGCAGCAGACACCCATTTTAAAGTTAACGAATCTGTCCAACTCTAAGACAATATAAATTTTATCTGTGATATGACACTTGGAGTCTGCATACGAAATGCATATTCCATATTTTATAATTATTTTCATATATATATATATATATATATATATATATATATATATATATATATATATATATATATATAGATAGATAGATACCAACCAAATGAGATTGATAGTGAACAAATAGTAACTGATAAGGATCTATACAGATGTATTAAAATGTGTAAACTCTTCAATTCATATTTCAAATTAAAACCTACTATTTAACGTTGTGATGTTAAAAACAGCAGTATCAAGAACTGAATGACGCGTATTCAATTTCGGGACGCAGTGATCCAAATACCGTGCTTTCAATTAGAGTTATTGTTTTATTTAATCAACACATTAAGTGAAAAGCAACTGTTATAGCACTGGTAAATAGCCATTTCGATTTCAAAAAGCATGTGTACTATCAAGTCAGGTGCCGTAAAACATCCACCCTAAATGGTAAATTCTCAAGTGCACTCAAAAGCACTCCATGTATCACAGTCGGTTGAAGCAGAGAATGAAACTATAATTCTTTTGTCTTTTCAATAATTGGGAGGTGAGTCAAGAGTTATTGAGATTATGGTGTATAATCCGGTGAAGAGCATTTGCGCTGCACTCATTCGTTAGGTTAATATGTTAATTTGTGTAATAACAACCGGGTCATCACGAAGTTCAATTATTTTAAGATTTGAAATCATTTCATATAGTAGTAGTAGTATTATGGATGCATGTATTACCCATCTAAAAACAAATATTCACCTTAAAATTGAGACTAAGAAATACTTAACTGAAACAAAACAGCTCTAAACCATGTTTTTAATCATACTTCGTAAAATTATTTACACTCATTAACGCTCAAAAAATCTAGTAAACGGGACCACTAGAAATTTACGTCAATATCGTAGTTATTTCAGGCAAATAAACTTTCTAGATTAGTGCAAATTATCCATTTAGGAAGCCCGTTATCATACAGCTTCATATAGACTACAAAAATGTTACTAATGTGTAAAATATCAACAATAATACACAAACTGTTCGTTGCAGATATCATTCAATGAATTCCTAAAAATAGAAAAGAAAACTAAGCAACAAGTTGATCTATAAATGTAAACTGAAAAGATGGTATCTTTAAGACTATATTGGAATTTTACTATCATATGCGAAAGCTCAGAGATAGATGACTACCTTGTGGGAGAAACAAAGATGAGAATAAAACGAATAAAGTAATAGATTAAAGAATGTGCACGGACACAAAGATGGGGGAAAATGACGAAAAACAGAAGTAATCAACCAACTTGAGAAGAAATAACAATAAACATGATACAGACTTTAATATCAATGTACTTATATAAAGACAGATTAGTCTACAGACAAGGCAAAGTTGACAGAAGTAGGATGAAGTTGACAATAGAAGTATTTAAACACTCTGAAAATGTTTTTAAACAACAGTGAAGTAGATCAATGTATACACTGTCATAAGAGTTAACTTTCTTTTTACATAACTAATATGAAGTAATAATTAAAAAGCAAAAAACATTACTAATAAAAGCAGAATGAATATAGATGGGAATGCTGATGAACTACGAGGATCCCTATTGTTGTCGCTATTATTGAATAATGCACTAACGTGTTTATTTTTATATACACAAGCATGAATGGAAGACAGTAAACAAAGTCCACTATTGAATTATACAACAAAGTGGTAGACCTATTGAAATATAAATCCAGATTTCGGTGATACTGTACTAGCAGATTCTGCAGCAGTTCCCTCTGAAGATGAATGTGTGGAACCAAAAAAGTCGTAAAACCCACTCCCACCACTACCAGACGAGCTTCCTGGACTTGATGACTGATCGTTTTGTGGATTTGATACAGCGTCTGGCGGAGCTTCTGAAACAAAACAGTTAATTAGCATTGATTAATTAAGGGAACTGAAAGACTTTTTATACATGAAAAATTTTACAAGTTTGATTCTGGGAATCAAAGGTTTTTAAATACAATTAGTAACTCAGTGGTACACAAAAAAATAATCTCCCTCAGTTATATAGATCTTATGTATGCGTTGTTACTAATTATAAATACCATATGATACTGAAAGATGTGTGGATTGTAAACACAACCACTCTTTCCCAAATGTTCAGATGTGAAGTTAAAGACCAAGCTACAAAACAAGAGTATGCTGTATAAGAGTAGTATGAAATATTTTTTTAAACTTGAATGTAACATGTATCTAATGAAAATTATCTAATAAAAATAGAAACTCAACACTGACCAAACAGATAGTAGTGATAATATTTGCAAACTCATACAAGATTAAGAAATAAAACGGAGTACCTAAGTCTAGAATGGGTGAATTCCACCGATAATAATAATAATTAATTAATAGCAGTAATAGTAATGATGGGAACAATGAAGATACAAAAATGATGTGAATTTGTATATAAATCCATTCTGTCGACTAATGGGTCAGGGTATTTTTAAATCATTAGAACAAAATGACCGGAATCATAAAAAGGATTTTCTTTTGAACTCAGTCATCATCAGTATATATATCAGCTTTAGATACCTACATAAAGATTTGAGTAACATCATAATGATTATTATTAAGGCATATATATATATATATGCAGGGAAATATTTCCTCCGAAATACGAACAAGCTTTTGTTAAAATTGAATGAAATAACTAATGAAAATAAATGTAGGGTAGATAACGGGTAAATATAGTAGTGATGATGTTTTAATAGGATGAAGTTAACTATCCAATCCCCCAATATGTAGTATATCAGTCAAATTAATTCAGCTTTATTACTACCAATAAAACTCAATTAATTAACTCATATTTAGGTAAGAGGTACACTCTAAATGTGGGTGCTTATGATACTATCTGGTTGCCCAAATCGAAATACTTAGTGGAGCGGCGTCAGAACCTGGGAATGAGTGGCTGAAATCTGAGTGGATTAACTACTAAACCATAACTCCACTCAACCACTATTACTAATATTACTACTTCTGATATATACAGTGGATAATTTGCCTTTTCTTTTTTTTCTTCAAAGAAACAAACAACAATAGCAGCAAAAGTTAACTACTTATAGTTGTAAATTTTCTAAAGATTTCTAGCAGCTGTTACTTTTTCGCCTTTTCTACATTGTGCTTATGTACAAAGTAAACATTTTAGAAAAAAGACAGAAAAAGTGGAGAGAAAGAAAATAAAAATATGTTGTACATGTCAACTGACTTGGAAATGTGGCAGGGGAACACATATTAATTTTCTAGTCGTTTTATTTTTAATCCTGTCTGCTGAACAACATGCTAATGATGAAAACGATGAACGGAAAGATAAAATAACTGGAAATGAGAAAACACAAAGCTAAGATACCTAACCACCACTATACTGCCATCCCAAAATTATATGGGGGAAAATATTCAAAAATGCCAACTTGACGAAGAAATTACAAAAGGAAAAAATTCAAAAGAATGATATAAAATCGAAAAAAAAACAGAGGTTATGAAGACTAATCTAGTAAGGCAATGTAAACTGAGGATCGACAGTGATTTATCATTCGATTTTGTAATGAAGATATCATTCATTTATTGAAGAGATTACGTAACATATGTAGAATTTCGAGTATTCGCCTTTGAATCATACATACTACCTGATAGCTTGTCAAATCACAGGTGGGTAAGTACGGTATATAAATCTGTTACACAATGATTAAAAATTTATAGGAATTACTAACTGAATCTAAATTAAGTTGTTTGTTTGAATTAATGAGCTATTACCCAACTCAGAAAAAGATTAATGGGAAATAAACATAAATTATGAGTTCAGAAATGTTGGTAAGTGTAGACTATCGGGTTGGGATTCGGGCGTTTGTCATGACCACTAGTTGGAGATGTTTAATAACATAACTTCGATTTGGTCCAAAATACGCCAATGTATTTACTCCTTGTCTTTACTTAGATCTTCATTTCAAAGTTATACATACCTTTGACTCCTCAAATTAATTTGTTTTGCCTGAATAATTTTTTTCTATGCTTAATTTGTTCACTACATCTACTACTTCCAGTGCTTAGGTATTTAATTTGATAAATTCATCTCCTCGTAATAATGTAGTGGCATCTTGGACGATGTACATGTCAGATGCTTGCAACTGATTTGTGTATGACATAAACACCTGCGTCTTAAATGAGTATGAATACTCCTCATATGCGAAAATATCCCCGAGGATCACAGATTCACTAGAACCAACAAAAAATTGCATGAGCTCAAGTGCAACTTACATTGAACGTGATCATAATTGTCTCTTTAGAAAACGTATCACCATCATGTTGAAAAAAGATTTAAAATACTTGTCTTTAAAAGACACATAAAACTATAAAGTCACTCATTATCCAGATAAATCGAAAGCATACGTACAAACGTCTTATCGTATTTGTAGAAATCGTTAAATAATGATAATCTGTTGCACCGATGCACAGTGGTTTCATTCATATTCAATAGTAAGCTTATTACATTTGGGATCTTGAGGTGACTGATGGGATCCCCCTGCATACAGTAACTATTTCGAGGCCGAAATGTGAACTATGTGTTATGAATCCTCTTATTACGACTCACTCTTATTGTTTGGTATTCATGGACACTACTTCACTCGACAAGTCCTCAAAACAGAACACGGTTGAACAGGAACGTCATTATATTCCAAATAACAAGGCTGGATGGAAATAGGAATCACCATAAGAAAAACATTAATATATTTATAATATTTACACAATAACATTCTAGAGTCTTCTCCAAGTATCCACTGGTGCTAATTGATTAAGAAATAGCCAATCAACGTTACCCACACAATCCTGCACGGAACATGCTTTAATCCAATCTATACCCCGCTAACACTACGCCTTGTATGTATTCATACGTAAAGCCTCAAAAGAAGTATACTTGCTAAGATTAAAAGAGAAACACGTTTTCATTTATATATTTACATATATATGGGTAGCAAACTTACGCATTAGCATAGGAGCGAATCTATTTATCATGATTCCAAGCCCCTCGATAATTGCCAATATAACACCACCAACAAATGCTTGACCGACCATAGCTGTTGGACCATGACGAACAGCCAAAGCGGCTCCGGTTATAGCTCCACTAGTGATCGAGTTCCACGGATCCTCTTTCTGACGAGCAAGAACTAAAGAGCAATCGACAGCTGTAAACACTCCACCCCATATAGCGAACCCCCCACCCGTGATTGGTGCACGTTGACGACTGTTAACCATTGCGCTTACTAGTTTTTTTGTATAACCCGAAGGGGCGTTACGATAACCTCTGTAAAAATGTAAAACACTACCACCGATAGTACCCATAGCAAATGCAGCTCCACAATCACTGACGATACGAAACGGACTGAAAGAGATGTCAAACAAAGTATAGAAGGAATATTATACTTTTTAAATAATTGTTAAAACTATTATAATCATATTAGAAATATGGGTAACAAAATAAGCGATGTTACTTTCACAACATTAGATGAACATTGTACGCAAAATACTTATGCTACTGAACCTCTAACGCCATAAAGCTTCATCCAATCTATGAAATACTAGCAACTCATTCACAGTGAAACTTCAGACAGAATACTAAGCATCAAGCGATTCTTGACAGGGAAATTCGTGAATAAATTTTTGACTTCATCCGAATCAACATGACGCGGAAAAATTTGTAAAACTATTTTGGTTACTTATAGTTATTTTAGTAGCGTAACAATCATCATGAACTGATTGAAATTAGACATGTACGCCATTGAAATCCGCTCAGTAACATGAAATATAAATGTTCACGCACAAAATCGCAAATCCAAGGTTTGACTTGTGGATGCATGGTCGCATATGTGCACTGTTGAGGAGCCTCATAATAGAACAAAATGGCTACCCATAGTTCCTAAATTTCAATAGTGCTTTAACTAAGATAAGTTCGTGATCTAAATTATGGAAAAAATTCTTAAATAACAGATTACTGAATATCGATTTCGTACAGCAGTATGATTTACACTAACATCCCAAACGTGGTGAGTTTGAAAATATCGGTCGATCGGCTACATTACAACGTATGACCAGGCACATATATGCATCGGTTCAAGTGATTAGACTCATTTACACTTTTATGAATACATGGTTAACTACGAATATATATTTACCCTGCTTCTACTAACTTGCACTGTGTTCGAAACTCTGTTATCATTAAACAATGAAAAGAGTGCGTATATCTACTACGCGAGTAATAACTCAATTCAATTGCTTCACTGGGCTAATGAATAGATGACCCCGATTGTTGCTGACACTGACGTGGTGGTCAGGCTTACCTATCGTAATGAACAAATCGAGCTATACTGGCTGGAACAATCGTCTCTCGAGGTCCAGCCATGTCAGACAGGTCGGTTGAAGAGCGGTAAAATTAAAATCAGCTAACCCAAAGTCCGAAGTCGAAGTAGTACCGCTAACTGTACGGACGTGTGATGGTAGTAGGGTGTTTGCTTCAGACAACCAGCACAACAGCGATGGTGCCTTCCCGAAAAATACACACCTCGCCTTGTCCCACGGATATCCGTCCCCAGTAGCAATGTCCCATAAGTACGGAACTAACACGAAAATGACAGAATGTTCGGAATGCATTTCCCGTACCCCCTCGAAATGCAAGTTGTTGCTTCAGGACTGGTCTGCGTCAATACCTGAACTAAGGATAGGGTGTGAAGTAGTCGAACGCGTTGGCAACTTCACTTATCTTGGAAGTCTGATCAGCCCTAATGGGTTGGTATCTGACGAAATCTCAGCACGGATTCGAAAAGCTCGTTTTGCTTTTGCCAACTTACGTCACCTATGGCGAAGGCGAGATATCCGTCTATCAATAAAAGGACGGGTATACTGCGCGGCAGTCCGTTCTGTCTTACTTTACGGCAGCGAAACATGGCCACTAAGAGTAGAAGACACTCGTAAGCTATTAGTATTTGACCACAGATGCCTTAGAAATATTGCTGGCATCTGCTGGGATCACCGGGTAAGTAATAGTGAGGTTAGACGCAGGGTATTAGGGAATGATGGTAAATCAGTTGATAAGGTTATGAATCTTCATCGACTGAGATGGTTGGGCCACGTGTTACGTATGCCTGAACACCGACTACCACGACGTGCAATGCTATCCGGTATTGGAGATGGTTGGAAGAAAGTTAGGGGCGGCCAAACCAAAACGTGGCATCAGTGCTTGAAGACACTAACTTCTAGTCTGAGCCATGTTGGTAGATGCAGACTACTTGGTTGGGGTCCGCGTGACTTTCGTAACAGATGGTTGGAGACCCTTGGTGACATGGCTCAGAGTCGATCACAATGGCGTCGGTGTATACACTCCCTGTCTTCCCTTAAACTAAGAGATTAAAATCACTTCATATCTTTCTTTCTACGAACGAATTCTTTCTCCCTGTACTATATCATTATATGCAATCTTTCTCTTATATATTACCACCTTTGACCTAACCACTGCTATAAATCCGGTGTTCATCTCGTTGTGCTGATGCGGTATGGCAACCTGGACCGATGCACATATGTGTCTGGTCCTACGTCGTAGCTGACTGACTGACTGAATGAATAGATAACGTTAATAGAAATGTGAGTTATAACCAGTCTGTTTTGTCCAACTAAAAAAACTACATGTTAATCCCAGCAAGTGTTCACGTCTTATTGACTCAAAGAGGATGCTTTGAAATCTCGATGAAACTTCTAGTTAAGGGCAATAAAGCATGTCGAGGCAGATTAAATTTTTATATTAGGTTCACAAAGTAGAACTAATACCACTAAACACCGCTTTACAAATTGAATGTACATGCGGCGTCAATGTATACATTTATACGAGGGTGATATATATTCAGAATGCACAACACTGAGTAAAACATGTATTTCGAGGGGAAGCAATTACTTAGCTTAGCTCAACATTTTTAATTGATAAACGAAGAAGTTATATCAATTGAAAAACTTGTTACTCGAAATTCAAACTCTAGAGCCCTGAGTTGTTTTTATGACTTTTCAAAAAGAGAAGCACAGGGTCAAAACGTGGTTAATTACCTAATCTTACATAATGCTTATTAAACAACCGAGTAAGAAATGTTGAGGTGATACAAAGTACTAGGCAAAGGTGGTAAATCGGTTGATGAGGTTACAAATCTTCATCGATTGGGATCGCTGGGACGAAGTCTAATCACCACCAACTTCCACGCGCAATGTTTCCTAGTGTGTGGGTAGTTTGGAAGCTATGGACAGCCAAATAAAAACAACACCAGTTCATGAATTTATTGACTGAGAGTTTCACCGTGTTGGTAGGCCCAGACTACCTGGTTGGAGACATAGTGATAATCACAATCAGTGATTAGAGAAATTAGGTGAAAAAGCTCAGGATGGGTCATTATGGAGCAAAGTATTACCTCTCACGTTCTTTTATCATCTAGCACCGCTAATGCAAACGATTCAAGTACGTAGAACGCTATTCCTGGTCTCCTGAAACCACGCTCTAAACTACATGTAGGAGCTTTTAACATCCGAACACTGTGCCAAATAGAACAGGCTTCTTTAGCTAGGACTTTAGAACCTCGCGCCATCGATTTGTACTGCGTCTTCGAAACGCGCATACAGGATTCGAGTAGAGTCATTCATTCGACCTCGCCGTATCAAAGTGAAGAACCATCCCGATCCACGCTTCGTGTATCTGGAAGCCCTGATACTGCTTCCCGTGGCCTCGGTGGTGTAAATATAGTACTGAGTCCTGGGGCAGAACTAGCTTTCTTAGACTGGATTCCAGTAGACAGTCGTTTGTACGCTGTCCGACTAAACGGAACAGTAAAGACTCGGAAAGAAATGGACACTCGTCGTTGCATATTCGTCGTCTCTGCCTACTCTCCCACTGACTGCAGCTCAGATGATGTAAAAGATGAGTTTTAAAGAAAGCTTACCGACCTTCTCCAAAAAGTTAGGGGCTCTGAAGTAGTAAAATTGGCTGGTGACTAATGCTCAAGTAAGGTAAACCATGCCCCCAAATGCCCTGGTATGGCCAAGAGTGGGGAGAGTCCGCTCTCCCTCTCGAATTGCTCTCACATGGCCACGCGTATATAGCCTCTGCCAGAGAAGTCCTACTCACTGCCTTCTCGTGGCCGGGGTTATTGTTTACGAAATTGAGAGAACGAAAAGCGAATGTCCGGCGCTCTAACCGGATTCCAAATCAATGGTGCACATGGGCTCCAGTATCCTGAAGGAACAAATGGCGTATGAACCAGTTGTTGGTCACCGGCTTCCATGGGACTGCATCTCCTCACGATGCTCCACTGCCTTGTGGATCAGACCGTCAGGTCGAAGGCTCCGGGAGTGGCCCCCTAAGAAAACCACCTGCTTCGGTTTGGGCACCCGGGCAGTATCACAGCCCTCACACATATCGACTGAGATTTGTGTGGTGCATATGTCTTTGGTGCCTCCTTGTACCAATATCTATGTGTTAGAATAAATAATAATAATAAAAAGGTAAACCATAAGGTTGGGGAGAAATACTGGGTCTCAGCAGCATCCACTGCACTGATAGATGCTCAAAAGTTTACCTCATCTGGCTCTGAACATGACAAAGAGCGGAGTCAGCTTAAGCGAAAACTAATAAGAAGCCTACACAATGATTGAGAACAATGGTAGTTAGCGAAAGCAAGAGAGATGGGAAAGGCAGACAACTGTCCAGACTTGTCAAGGAAACTAGTATTAGGAATCTAACTGCTAGCGAAACTACCTCCGAAAAAGATGGACATGCTATTTACTCTCAATCCGTGAGGTTGGATCGATGGGCAGAACACTTTCGAGATCAGTTCAACTGGCCTTCAGCCACACTTCGGTTTCCCACGATCTCCAGTAGGTAAGGATGGCAAATCAATTTATGAAGTAGTGTCAGTCAGTCAGTCAGCTACGACGTAGGACCAGGCACATATATGCATCGGTCCAGGTTGCCATACCGCATCAGCACAACGAGATGAACACCGGATTTATAGCAGTGGTTAGGTCAAAGGTGGTAATATATAAGAGAAAGATTGCATATAATGATATAGTACAGGGAGAAAGAATTCGTTCGTAGAAAGAAAGATATGAAGTGATTTTAATCTCTTAGTTTAAGGGAAGACAGGGAGTGTATACACCGACGCCATTGTGATCGACTCTGAGCCATGTCACCAAGGGTCTCCAACCATCTGTTACGAAAGTCACGCGGACCCCAACCAAGTAGTCTGCATCTACCAACATGGCTCAGACTAGAAGTTAGTGTCTTCAAGCACTGATGCCACGTTTTGGTTTGGCCGCCCCTAACTTTCTTCCAACCATCTCCAATACCGGATAGCATTGCACGTCGTGGTAGTCGGTGTTCAGGCATACGTAACACGTGGCCCAACCATCTCAGTCGATGAAGATTCATAACCTTATCAACTGATTTACCATCATTCCCTAATACCCTGCGTCTAACCTCACTATTACTTACCCGGTGATCCCAGCAGATGCCAGCAATATTTCTAAGGCATCTGTGGTCAAATACTAATAGCTTACGAGTGTCTTCTACTCTTAGTGGCCATGTTTCGCTGCCGTAAAGTAAGACAGAACGGACTGCCGCGCAGTATACCCGTCCTTTTATTGATAGACGGATATCTCGCCTTCGCCATAGGTGACGTAAGTTGGCAAAAGCAAAACGAGCTTTTCGAATCCGTGCTGAGATTTCGTCAGATACCAACCCATTAGGGCTGATCAGACTTCCAAGATAAGTGAAGTTGCCAACGCGTTCGACTACTTCACACCCTATCCTTAGTTCAGGTATTGACGCAGACCAGTCCTGAAGCAACAACTTGCATTTCGAGGGAGAGAAGAGCATACCAAACATTCTGGCATTGTTGCTTAGTGCTACCAAAAGACTCTGCATTTTGTCAGCGTCTTCACCAAACAGGACTATGTCATCTGCGTATTCTAAGTCGATAAGTGGACCTCCTGGATGGAGATCAATACCAGAGAACTCAGTAGACGAGAAAGTTATTTCCATCAGTAGATCTGTGATGAAGCTAAACAAAAATGGGGAAAGTGGACAGCCTTGACAGACACCACTTGATGTTGAAAAATCAGATGGCAGTTCGCCATAAGCTCTGACTCCACTAGTAGTGTTCGAGTAAAGAGCCATCACAAGGTTTATGTACTTCTGTGGTACGACACTGCCACAGAATCTTGCGGTCTACCGAGTCAAATGCTGCTTTTAAGTCAAGAAAGACCACCATTGTCGGACACCGATAAGTATGCCTGTGTTCTAGAACCTGACGAATGGTGAATATGTGGTCGATGCAGCCACGACCAGGTCTGAAGCCAGCTTGATTCTCTCGTGTTTGCAGTTCACGAGTCTTAGTTACGCGTATGATAATTATCGAAGCTAGTATTTTAGATATTATATTAGTTAAACTAATCCCTCTATGGTTGTCACAGGATGATTTTGACCCTCTCTTATATATTGGGACGATAAGTGATTGTGACCAGTCAGATGGGATAACGTCTAACTCCCAGATCTTAGCTAAAATATTAGTCAACCTAATCGCTAAAATTGGACCACCATCCTTAAAGACCTTTGAAGTCAACCCATCTGGACCAGGTGCCCTTCCTCGTTTCAGATTAACTATAGCCTTTTGAACTTCAGCTAGGATTGGGGGACCTACTTCAATGTTCCATTCACACTGTCTGGGAATGGAGGGTAGTTGTAGAGTAGCTGAAGGCCAGCTGAACTGTTCTCTGAAATGTTCCGCCCATCGTTCTAAACGTCTGGACTGAGAGCAGATGAGAGTTTCGTCTTTTTCCGAAATAATCTCACTCACACTTGACTTATTAATTCCAGTTTCTTTTATTAGTCTGTAAAGTTGTCTTGTGTTCCCTATAGTCGCCGCCTTTTCCATCTCTTTTGCTTTCATTGCCCACCACTGCCCACGGTCGTTTCTTAGACTTTTGCTTAACCTAGATCTGATTTGTTGTCGCTCTTCATCATGTTCGGAACCTGATGGGATGAGTTTGCGAGAATCCATCAGTGTGGTAGACTTTGAAGAAATCCATTGGTTCTTTGTAACCTTGTGGTTTAAATCACTGATAGATGTCACTGGTGTTTCCACAGCTATTTGTATGGCTTTCCAAGCAACAACTGGGTCAACCTCGTTTTCAGAACTACCTAATCGTGACCTCAGTTGTTCCTGGAACCTACTTTTGGTTTTCTCGTTACTCAACTCAGTTCTAATGGGTCTTTTTAATGTGGCTTTTTTGCGTCCAGTGAGGCGCAAGCAGATGTGTGCCCGTATTAGGGTGTGATCGGAGTCCAAGAAGGTACTCCAGAATGAGCGACAATCTTGTACCGACCCTCTCCAACGATGACTGATGGCAATATGGTCTATTTGAGTCCATCGTTGGTTTGGTGTAGGGGGTCGCCATGTTAGACGATGTCTCTCCTTATGCTTAAAATTTGTTTGCTAAAAATAAGCGATTGTCTGGGCACAGTTGCAGCAGACGGTCACCATTATCTGTTCGCTGTGCCGGAATGCTAAAATATCCACCTAAATGCCTTCCTGTTTGGTTTAAGCTACCTATCTGAGCATTAAAGTCACCCCCTATGAGTACTATGTCTGAGCGTTTAGCTTTCTGAAGAAGTTTAGAAAGCTTTCTGTAAAATTCATCTTTCACATCATCTGAGCTGCAGTCAGTGGGAGCGTAGGCAGAAACGACAAAAAGGCAACGACGTGTATCCCTATCCTTCCGAGTTCTTACGGAGCCGTTTAACCGAACAGCACATAGACGACTGTTGACGGGGATCCACTCTAGCAGTGCTTGTTCCGCTCTCATGCTTAGTGCTATGCCTACACCTGCCAGTCCACGAGAACTGGCCATCGGGTCACCAGACACACGGAGGGTGTATCTCATTGGCTCTCCGTCTTGCCGAGGTGAGGTCAAGTGAATGACCACACTGGAATCCTGTATGCGTGTTTCGGAGACACAGCATACATCAATGGAAAGAGACTCTAGGGTTTTAGCCAAGGAAGCCTGCTGACCGATTTGACATAGGGTGAGTACATTGAAGGCTCCAATGTGTAGTTTGGAGCGAGGTTTCAGTAGACCTGGGACAGAGTTTTGAGCACTAGAATCGTTGGCTATGGTGACACTTGAGGAGGAAGCCGAAAGAGGAAGTTTAGAGTTGAAAGTCGATGTAGGAGGAATAATAGAAATTGAAGAGGAAGGTTGACTATGAATACAGTGGTCTCGAGTGCTGTTAGAGGTATGAGGGCGGTTATCGCTTCCCGGTTGCCCATACCGAGGAAGGGTTCTTCTGGAGGTACCTGAAAAGGAAATTGGATTAGAGGTGGTCTCAGTGACCTGAGAGCGTGACCGCAGTGCCCAAGGGACAACTGCTTGAGGCCGATCGCGCACGGCTTTTTCGTGGGAGGTTTTTGACGTGTTACCTCCGTTCTTCAAAGGGCCTTACCGCCGGAGACGGAAATCCGTGAGGTAAGGTGAGGTGTGCATGTTTAGGGTCGACCTTTTCTAACCCCACCCCTCCTTGTGGGAAGGCAGCATCGCTGTCATGCTGGTTGTCTGAAGGAAACACCTTACTGCTGTCACACCTCTGTACAGTCAGCAGTACGACTTCGCCTTCGGACCTTGGGTTTGTTGCTTTTAGTCTTACCTCTCTTCAACCGACCTGTCTGACATGGTAGGACCTTGAGGAACGGTTGTTCCAGCCAGTATAGCCTGGTTGCTTCATCACGATAGGCAAGCCCGACCACCACGTCAAGGTAGCAACAACGGTCGGGTTATGAAGTAGTGAAACTCCATCAGTTGAGATAGCTGGGGCACATGTTAAGTATGCCCAAATACCGACTGGAAGAAAGCTAGCGGCAGCCAGACCAAGACATGGCACAAATCCATGAAGTCACTGACAAGTGGACTGAGCCATATTGGTAGGTGTAGACTACCTGGTTGGGATCCACGAGACGATAGCGACCGATGGTTAGAGACCCTGAATGACATGGCTCAAAATCGTTTGCAATGGCGCAGGTGCATCAACTCTTTGTGTTCTCCTAAATCCTAATCTGGGTTCTTCACGTCCCTTTTTTCTCTTTTTAACTTTACTTCTCTGGATTATACCCCTTGAGTAACATCTTCAAACCCTAATCTTTCCGATTACTGCTTATATTCTTACTACCTCTACCACTACGGGATTTAAATCAACAATTGTATCTCTGTGCTAATGTGGTATGGCAACTCGAACTGATGTACGTACCTACGAAGTTCTACGTTGTTGACTGACTGGCTTTACTATATCCAAAACCTTGAGTTCTAGTATTCGTTTGTACCTTTAATTAGTCTTTTCAAACCACATATCTAATGTCCGTAAAATAGTAAAATCGTGCAGGAAGTAGCTTAAATGTTACATTGATTTGGCAGATTATACCGTGTTGATAGACGACTGACCACCGATCGAGAAAGTACCTGAAACGCACGATGTCCGAAGACTTCGTTAGAGCATCTAATTAAGATGTCATCTAAAGACACATGGGTAAACTTGAAACCTTTTGTAACCACGAGAATAAATCGACTCTTATTACAGGATTAGCAGAGTAATATTAAATTTAGTGGATATATTTTATACTGTTCTTACCGTGGACGTTTGTGAAGTGGCGTCCATAATCGAAACCCAGTGTTCATTTTTGCTTAGTGCACATCAATGAGCTTTTGACGCTGTTAGGTTTTTGTACTTACGATTGACAAGTGGTGAAAACCAATACAGAAAGAATAATCGATTCCAATTACCGATGACTTAACTGGACTAATAAAGCAACAAGGATTGGTAGCAATTGATTAAAAAAAGAATCGTCCGAGATAGTTTTGAACGAACTCATATAATCCCAACAAGAAGAAAATACAAATCATGGGATATTCTTCAATATATATATATATATCTTGAAGTAAATATACGTAAACTGGAAAACAACTTATTCTAATCGTTATTATTATGCACTATGACAGTAGGCAAAACCTTAATATTCAAACAAGAAAAGCAAAAAATACATATTAAAAGTAGATCATAAAAAACTCTTACACACCAGGGATCTCTGCTGAACTCGTCCATGTCAAGGTCGCGTGATTGACTGTAGCGCGAGCAGTTATATCGTGCAGCTTGTTTAAGATGACCATAACAACTGCATGCAAGAAACTTCCAATAATATCAAATTCACATTGGACCCTCCAGCTGTGTTTTTGCAATTTTTGAGTATGGTTCTTTGCACATTCTCATTCACCTAAGTCTTTTCATTGAGGTTTTTCCAGGCTCTGGGGAAAACTATAGGCCAGTTTCAGTTTCAGATTTGAAAGGACAGGAGGCTTGATGGCCTGTGTTAGTCCTGGGAATGATGGTCTCTAAGTTGATCCAACTTTCTTTTGAATGATTCGATGGATAGAGCCTCAACCACGTGCTGAGGTAATGAGTCCCAGCTGACAAGTATTTTGTCCTGGGCTTGTGAACTTTTCTGGTGTCCTCGTAAATTCTCTATTTTTGAAGGAAAATAAAATGAGGGTATATCATGTGCAAATTTATCATTTTAGTTCCTTGATATGACAACGGGACTAGGTTTAGCTTGGCCAGTAGAGCATCATACGGGAGCTTCGTCATTCCGGGAATCAGCTTAGTTGCCGCTCCCCGAACCTTTTCCAAAATCTCACTGTCTTTTTTAAGCAGGGGCTGGCCGCTTGTATGCGGTACTCAAGTTTAAGACAAACGAATAATGTGTACAAAGTCAAGGACGTTTTAGCTTCGACACCTCTAAAGGCTTTATGTATTGACCATAGAGTTCTAAAACCTACGGTGGCTATCGCACGGAAGTGTGTAGTAGTTTATAAGTTGTGGCAAGCCCATTTGGCCACTGTATCATTTGTCTATTCGTTGTAACTCAGACTTTTAATTCATCATGTTGATTTCTGTGTGCATTTCAGATTCTTAATTCACTATGTTAATTTTGGTGTGTATGATCGAATGCATGTCTGTACATTAACCCTTAAGCTATTCTCCTATTGGTTGCAATGTGCAGATAATCGATAATTTATCTACACCCGATTAACTCTCAAAAATATATATGGATTTTTAACACACACACTGACTCACTCACTTTGTCCCATCGTGTGCTTGCTCGCTGTACGCTTGCGGATTATTATTAATCATTAACAATAAATTATCTCTATAACTGGTGTTCAGGCTTCTCAGTAATCTCGAGTAAATCCGTAATTCTACTAGGAGATTAAGCCTACGTTAAATACTCAGTTTACGGGATATTATTTATTGGAGTCAGATATAGAGGACATTAGCCTCAACATATTGGTTAGCCGCCGTTTCAACAAAGTCTTGGCTAACGATGACCCCTAAGTTACTATGTTTCTGAACAACAGGTAGCTAGATGTTATTCATCATGCATGTATCTGTACCTTGAAGACCATGTAAGATCCATTTTGAGTGCCTTGTGTGTTTGTGAAAATCCCTCCCTGTATATACTTACACTTTGTTCCTATTGATTCTTTTAGTTGTACATTGTTAACTTTTTGACTACATTTGAATTGTTAATATTTGTATTTTATTATAGTTTCGTTTTTACTACACCTTCACCAATTCCCCATGTTTCTTCCTGAACTGCACTTATGTTGTTTTACTTCATACTAGCTCTGGGCGGCAGCCATTTTGGTTTATCCCTGCTTTTGATTGCTTGACCTGTGTTGACTGGAATTGTGCATTTTGGTTGTGAATTGAAGCACTCTTCTAGAATTGAAAACACTCTGTGTTATAGAGCGACCAATTATTACCTTTTGAACGAATCTGTACGTGATCTATCCAGTCAGGATAGAATAACATTTATTTGTGGTGATTGTTTAGATTTGATCAATTAAACAATTATTGGTTGGATAGCTGTGTGGTTATATTTGTTTAGAACCGCTATCTTACCCAATTACCTTGTTCTGATTTCAAACGGGCAAGGGCGCGTATCCAACTTATCCAAGCAGCTGTCCAGCAGTCCAAACGTGGTTTGGATCCTATAGTTCTAAACAAATATTACTTGGCCGAAATCCTTTGGTAATCGTTCACGGATTTTCTGGAAATAATTGGTCGTGTCGCTTATAATGCCAGTTAATCGTCGAAGGAGATCAGGCTCAAAGTTCGTCGATGTTAACGAAGAATCCCCTATTGTCAAGCAAGTGCTTTTTGACGTCCTTAAGGGTCATGGTTCAGACTTAAATAGGGTTAATTATCATGGCAGTGATTCGAGTCTTAATTCGATGTCAGATGATGTAAAAAATCTTAGTTTAAAGGAGGAGCAAAGGTCTGAATTACTAGGAAAGAGCATGTTGCCTATAGTCCATGTTGTTGTCCCAGAGCTACCTAAGGTTGAACTGAGTTATTTCGATGGAGAGCCAAGAGGTTACTGGAAGTTTATAAAGCAATTCGAGACGTATGTAGCCTCAAGAGTCACGGATGATAGCCAGCGCTTACTCTATTTGATACACTACTGTAAGGGCAAGGCTAAAACAGCTATTGAAGGTTGCGTCATGATGGAGGCATCCTCTGGCTATAAAAGAGCAAGGGAGATTTTAAAACGTTTTTTCGGACAGCCTCACGTAATTGCTCGAGAAACACTAGAGGACTTATTCAGTGCTGTGAATTTTGAAAATATTGACGGGGACCAACTATTAAACTTGGTTATTAAAATGGAAAACTGTGCCATGGTCTTGAAACAGATGAATTATACTTCTGATCTAAATTCCTTAGTTACCTTGGAAAGAATAGTGAGACTCTTGCCTCAACCTATGCAAGCCCAGTGGGCGGACTGGGTGGATAAATTGACTGAAGATAACAGGGAACCGACCTTCGACGAGCTCACTCAGTTTATCGCATCGCGTGCGAGAGTGGCTTGTAGTAGATTTGGACGGTTAGCAAACCGTTCTAGAAAAGGACATAACGTAAAGACGAACTGTCACGTGCAATCAGAGCAAGGGAATAGTTCGACAATGAAAACTAAATGTAGTATGTGTTCCTACGACCATGCCATTGATAAATGTCCACAGTTCTTAGCGCTTACAGTTCAAGACCGATGGTCTCACGCTAAAAGCAAGGGTATCTGTTTCATCTGTCTTAGACAAGGACATAAGGTTAATGAATGTAAGATGACAAGGCTCTGTAAAGTTGACAGTTGCGAGAGGAGACATCACGCTCTGCTGCACACTGACTCGACAAGCAACGTCGTAAATGATAAGCCATCATGCCCGGAATATAGAAAAAGAGTTGTTAATCATACCAGTAAGATACAGACATTAGAGAACGAAATACGTAAGCCTTATGACGTAGAGTTTTCAGATGCTTATTCAAGTGATAAATCATTATCAGTAGACGACAAGGTGGCTATAAAGATTGTGGAAGGTGGCACGCGCTTCGGCGACGGTCATTTTGTAGTTTCTATACCTTGGAAAAAGATTCCAGATATGAAAGTGAATAATTATGAAGTACCAAACCGTAGATTACAAAGTTTGAAGGGTATGTTGTCGAGGGATGTCAGTCTGCACATCAAGTATATCAAAAGTACTGAAAGTGATTTTACTAAGACTTATGCGGAGAGGGTCTTTGAAATATATCTGCAGTCTTATTATCATCCTCGATGGTATTTACCTCATCGTGCAGTATTAAACATGAAAAAACCAGATTTTAGAGTGGTCCTTGATTGTGCCGCCCAGATTGCAGGGGTTCCCCGAAATGATATGATTTATCAAGAACCCGATACCACCGCTGAGTTAATGTGTATATTATTAGGTTTTCGCAAGGAGGCAGTTGCAATCCCTGCAGATGTTGAAGAAATGTTCATGCAAGTGAATGTCCCTGAGTCTGATCGAAGAGCTTCAAGATTTCTGTGGTGGCAGGAGGGGGACATGTCGAGAGAACCGTCTGAGTTTCAAATGACAACTCATGCATTTGGTGCCACATCATCGCCCTTTCGTGCGAACCTTGCCTTGAATAAGACGGCCCAAATATTCTCTGACGATTATGATAGTTATGTCGTAGATACTGTCAAGAATAATTTCTATGTTGATGATTGCTTGATATCTATTCCCACTTGTGATCAGGCAAAGAGTTGCGTTAAGCATATAAGTGGATTATTATGTAGAGGAAGTATACAAAAATTGACCGATCTTGAATCATGGTTCAAATGTCCTACTCTATTGCATGGCGAATTTTATATAACAATCACTGACTGTCCGGAACCTACTCTTGACGATATTGAGTTTAGAAAAACTGCTGTGGTTAACTTGAGTAGTATAAAGTACAACAAGACACCTGTTCTCTTTTATTATTCCGAGTGGTTGAAATTAGTCAGAGCTGTAACCTGGTTTAAAAGGTTTATCGAATTCCTGATGGTACTTCGTTTGCCGAGTTGTGAAGGATCCGTTCATCTAGGATGTTTAAAGGTCAAAGAGCTTGAGATTGTCAAGCGTAAGATTTTATTGATGATTCAGAGAGAAGTGTATGGAGAATTACTTAGTGAATTTAAGAACAGCAGTAAAGTAGTAAGCCATGATGATCTGAAAGGTTTATCGTTGATGATGCTTGATGGGTTACTCTGCGTTGGAGGTCGACTAAGATACTCAGATTTCCCAGATGCTTTTAAACATCCAGTAATTTTACCCAGTCGACACTTAGTGACGGAAATGATAGTTAGACATTGTCATAAAGAACAAGGACACATAGGAAGATCATTAGAAAAAGGGTATGGATATGTGTTTACTTGTTTGCAAACATGGGCAGTACATATTGAAATGATGTGTAGTTTGATTACTGATTCATTTTTAATGGCTCTATTACGTTTTATTGGAAGAAGAAGGAAACCTCCGGAGATTTACAGTGACAGTGCGTCAAGCTTCGTGGTGACAGTTTCTGAGTTAAGCAAGTTGGTGCAGCAGTCGAATCAGAAGATAAACATTGAATTGTCAGCGAAGCGCTCATCCAACAGCATGGGTGGAGTTTGGGGAAGAGTGATTAGGTGTATATCACGACTGTTATTGTTGATCACCAGAGAACAGGTGAAGCAGGTCTCCTTGAAG